ATTACCGACATTATATTTGTTCCTTTGTTCGCCCAAACATTCACAAAACATAAGGCCGATGAAAAAATTGGAAATATTCTTTAATTGTGAATGTTTCTTTTTCCTCGTGTGGTTCCTGTACCAACCTGATGAAATTTCTTCGCAAAACGACAGATAATAGTATGAAGATCAAGTCTTAACAGTCTTATTCAAGAACTATGGGAACAATATTTGTGGTCATGCGCAGTTAAGGACTAGACGAACTTAGGCACGTTAAAATCTGTATTCCAAATAAACGTCAGTGAAATGTAACCAAAAATATTGAATATCCCATCATCTTAAACCTTTGACGTTTCGTCCGCGTTGCACATAAACATGGCCGTTCCATGCATTTTTACCACAAAATCGTGTCGGCGTTTGCTGACCTATATTTTCGCGACGAGATCCCCTACACTATTGACCAGTTTATGTAGATTTGACCGCTTTACAAAATTTTTTTATTCATCATAATGTGAAATTACGCCATTTGAAATGAAAGATGACGTAGGTGAAAACCAGTAGTAAAAAAAAATATTTTCTTACGAAAGTGAACAAGTTTCTTTGATGTAATATAGAAAACGGTCTTATTTTATTTATCTTTTATTAGATTATTATTAAATTAATAGAGCGTGGCCGATTATTCATGCACTTAGCTGGAGGTATGGTCTTGGCCTTGGTGCAATGAACTGGCGTTTCCGTGAAAGATTTTTTTTCGTGATCGACTGTGTTCCTAAATTGCATTCCTCACTTGTTATCTTAAGTATCAACCATAAACCCTGAATTCTTTATTGACTTATCCGTGGTTGCTGTTTTTTTCATTATCATGATTTGGTGCATTGATCCAGGAAATGAAAGGAAATTGAAAGGATAGACCGATATCCGACAGCATGGAGTTGTTCCTGTCATTACAGATATCATCTTGTACCCAAAATCACGGAATATTATCAGACATACAATGCCTTGAAAACCATGGAGAAATCTTACGATTTTGGGCAGTTTTTAGTATTGCATGTGCACTGGATTCGTTTTAGTTGAGTTTTACTCTATGTTTGGTAAATGTCAAACAATTCATAACGTCGAATCCCCCCACCCCTCCAACCCCACCCCCCAAGGAGGAGTGGGGTAAGGCGTGTAATTAGGTAACCAACTGTAATTAACGTCAAGACTGATAGACACTTTTCAGGTTGAATACAAGAGCTAATATTACCCTCCTAATGTGTTTTTATCTATATGGACGCTGAATATGCTTACATGTTAGCTACCTTACAAAATGATGTGGTGTTTTCGATGTGGGCAGAAGATAAAGCCTTGCGGCATCAGCGCCCCATTCTGATGACAAAACAAAAACCAAGCAGAAATGTTTGACGTATCGAGGAAGTACAACCAGACAAACAACTCTGAATGCTTAACCATGCATCCAGGAAGTAGTATAGCAAACCTCATCCTAAAGAACACTGAGCGCGAAGCCTAAATAGAATTGATTGAGGCCGCGTCAAGGAAGTGCCAACGGTAATAATCTCTGACTGGTTTGCCATGCATCCGGCTTTTTATTCACTGAACGCTTTTCTATCACTTGGTCAGCTAATTCACCGGACAAAGCGGCGCCGGATCACCGTTTTGAATTGAGATCTTAGGATCCAGATCTCGTTTGTCATTGTGGCCCATTTTGTAATGATTTATTCACGAGAAGATTGAATTCAGAGGTGTTCGTATCAGAATGAAAGGATAATCAATGATCAAACAGACTTGCACACTGTTCATTCTCCTTGGCGATTCTAAAAAAGCTACTCAGTTACCTCACACGTTTCTTACTTTGAACTGACACTGCTAAGAAGCTTAGCTGAAATGAGGCAAAAAACAGCGGTTCAATAAGTTTGATATTAGTCGAAGGTTTACTCAGTAATACTATAATCCTTTGTCTACGAGTCGGTGTTTCGCTAGCTATTTATTCCAAATTCCTCCAAAAAATACGAAACTTGGGCCACTATGTTTGTATGAATCAGTCAGGGCTGCTAATGCGCATGCTCCAGTTCTTGTTTTTCGGTCAAAGTAAAGCTTTCTGGTCTGCGCATGCTTATACCGCTATTTGGGTCTGGTCGATATTAAACACGTCACGACAAGCATAACAGGAAACAGCTTCATCATCATTTTATAAAGCTGCTTCAGTCCTTGATAAATAATTTTATGACAACGTAACGTAACATTCGAAAGCCCACCTTTCTTCGTTTGTCAACAATGAGATCAATACTGCCGGGTTGATATCAATAATGATTATTTTTCATAACATAAATAACAACAATGATCTAGGTTTCTAAATCTTCGCTTGGAAACATTAGTTATGACAGTATCTTTGGTAGATTGAATAGATAGACTTTGCTTCTTAATGTACATTATATTCGATAAACAATTTATAATTTTCTTGGATTCGCCGCGTTTCTGTTTGATCAGTCAAGGCACGCAAATGAAATTATACATTCTTTTCAAATTATATCAAAGTCAAAATAAGGATGTATGCTAGATTGACTCCCTCTAATTATTTTTTCTTAATAAACTCTCACACCAGGAATCTCCCTCTGGTCGTGTAATTAAAAAAATTGTAGAAAGTGGTCCTAAAATAGATCTGTGTGGCACCTCATCATTTACAAATTGTCAGGGTAGTAAATTATAGAATGAACAATCGAACGGGACCCGAATACCTTGATAGAAAAAGGGAGTTAGATGAAGGATTGGCATTCGACTCAGTAATCAGCAAAAAATCGATTAAACTGGTGCGAAAATGGATCCGTGTGGTATCCCATTATTTTAATATTTTCAAATTTAGAGCTGAAAAGCGTGAAAGGGAATTAATTGAAGAATTGATATTTGGAAATTATCAGTGAAGTCGAAAGTAAAAGATTAATTTGACAATGAAAACATTAAATGAATAAAGCCTGTCACTATAAATCAAATCATTTTTTGACAGCCTTCATTCTCAGTTGATTATATTTATATTTAGACCTCTTATTTCGAAGTCAAACTTTKTTATTATTTTGAAAGTGATGAATTAAAAATTGTACGAAGTGAGTGTGTGTTGTCGAAGGTTAATGTAAAATGGTTACGACAGACCTTTATCTACAACCAAGGACGAGTCCTTAGTTTATCACAGTACGTGAGCATCTCAGTGAGCAAAACTGCACAGGAAGCCCGACAAGTGCTTTTGTTTCCGTACTATTCTTATTGACTTGACTAATTACCTTTGGTCTTTTGTAATCAACATCACGATTAGTTTCGAGAATTGAAAGCTGTCTCAGCGTTATTTGTTATAGCTAATGAACATTGACATGCTGTAACTTAGACATGTATCGTGTGTCTCACGGTCTGTCACGAACACGTATATTTGTGCTTTTCACTATATTTCACTACAGGTAATAAATACCTTAATAATGTTTACTGAAATCACAGTACAATTTAAATAAGGTATTTAATCATTTTCCTCCCTCCATAAAATTCAATATGTGAGTTAAGTGTTGTGTGTGGTAAAGAATTATCGTAGTGGTATTGCGTTTGAAGCGATGTCTCACGGAAGAGCCTCTTACGGGGAGTGAAAAATATTATTCCGGGTTTCTTAGGACCCTATGTGTTCTATTTTTACGAAGATACTGAGTTCATCAAAGTGCTTCACTAGAACATCTGTGCCGCACGTCACGTAAATGTCAAGAGCGCAAAGTGTTTACAGCTCATGTGTTTGGAAGCCTTGACCATGTCGTGCTCTGTGTCGTGGTTTTTCACTACGATGTTGGAATTCGCCCAAATAATTAGTGATCATAACTTGCGCAGATGGACTGTGCAATACATATGCCTATAAACCTTTTGGATTACTTTAATAATTTTCTTTCTTTACACATCTTTTATTAGTTACAATTATATCGACTCATTCTTTTCTGAATCGACCACTACCTATAGGCGACCATCTTAAGGCTGGTCGCTTAGCAAAGGTTCGGCCATAACTTGTACAGGTTGACCCACTTTGAAAGATTAGGAATGCTAACTATCTTCTAGGTTTCCTGTGTGCTACAAAGTGACACAGGAATCCCAATACTTTCTATTTTCTTTTGCCCCAGTAGAAACACCACAGGAAACCCAAACATATTCCTAACTATGTGCTTAGCTGTATTTTGTCATTTCAAATAATAGTTGAAAACCTGTTTGATCAGGTACTTACGTGCTATCTTTGCTATCCTGCGTCGCATACTTTATCGTACATCTATTCAATTACATTGATAACTCGAAATGGTCTTTCACTTCCTATAGATAGCTCTATCTTAGTACCGACACACACTTGCTTGCATTTGCGCACATGAGCATAGTAAGAGAAACGGGCCTGTTAACTCTAATCTTAGCTCAGTTAGTAAATTTGATATCAATTCCACTGTACAATTGTACTTGTATAGTGGGCTTTCATATGCATTTTTACTCTGGCCTGTCCTTTTTTCTCTTTCTTTTCTTAACTTTTTCTTGTCTTACTCAAGCGCTGCCCATAGTTCTCAATGGACAGTCACACACAAACAAGTGTGCGCGCATACGTACTATAAGCTGGACAGACACTGAATGAGCTGAAGAGATAGTGTAATGACAGTACATTCTCGAATCACCTCTTGCTACGTTCGCTAGGTACACCAGCCCAACCCCTCGACCTCCAAAACTCTACTATGGGATTTTCATTCTTAAAGCATTTACAGTTTACAAACCACGATAGACCTCTAACCGCTTGTGCATGATGTTTTGCCTTTTCAAATCACTTGTCATTCTCTTGAGAATAAAATTCTTTATTTTAGTTGTATCTATATTTCTGTGTTTTATCATGTGCAATCGGTAAACAAAGAAATGATACTTTAGGGAATGACATGTGATTTGAAATGGCAAAACATAAGGCCAAAGCTCAAGAGGTCTACTTCTTGATCGCTTAAGCTAAAACACACCACAAAATCAATGACGCACACTAGTAGATTCAGTAAATAAATTTATTTTCATCTTTGGCGCGTTTTTTTCTAACCAGCGTTGCAAAGCAAACCCCCAAAGCCAAGGGAAGCCTGTCCTTCATTCAAGGTCTCTAGCCTTGCTGCGCACTCGGCGTATTCTCTATAAATGCGCAACTAAGTACTGTCACCTTAACCAAACTAGGCTCCCAGGCTCTTTATTTATTTATCCCCTTATATGAATTTTGAAATGATAATAATTTTACAAGATTAAGCTAATTCTGTAATATAAAACACTGTATGTACCCACTAAATAACAGTTTTAATTTTACATTTTACAGGAACGAAGTGGAGTAGAAAATGACCCAGAAAAAGACATGAACTGTAAGTATTTCAAACGCTTTGAACTCTAAAGAAGAATGTACCTCTTTACCTAGGGCGTAATGTTTTCCCATTTCAGACCACGAACCTTGAGAATAACATTCTTTGTTTGAGACGCAACCATGCATCTTCTCATGCGCAACTGCTAAACAAAGAAATGATACTCAAGGGAATGACATGTGGTCTGAAATGGGAAAAAAATTTCCCTTTAGTTCTTAACCTTTTCATAAACATTTTTAGCTTATCATGTCACTTCTTCTATCTGTATCAAAAATACTATTTCAATAAATTTATCGATTTATCAACTTTAAAAGTCAATTAACTTAATAACTTTAAACCTTAGTGATTAAGCTTAGCTTTTTAGGTACTCTCTATCTTTTCACAAATCAATCAGTATGCAGAAATATCGATATAAAATGCTAACATTTCGTACTATAAATTTAATAAATGTACACCTGCTTTAGGGTATAGTGTTCGAATATTTCTGTAGTTTGATACTGGACATCACGCCCTCGTATCAAAAACGTTAATACTTCTACATCAGTATGATGCACGATCTTCAACCATAACAGTAGACGAACAAAAATAATATGATATTTATACGGAGTAATTTGGTATATAAAAGAAGCTGACTTCGTGAAGCAAACGTGTAAAAAAGATGATCTGAAAATAATGTGCACAGTAGGTGACAGTTTGTGGATATGATGTTGGCCTAAGTTAGTTTTAAATCATGTCCATGCACTTGTAGCCTAATTTTCTATCATTGAATCTCCAAGCAAATTCGTGTGTAAGTGCGCTAATATATCGCGCGCCTATCAGAGTACTTGCGCGCAATTTGCAGCAATTGATTTGTTCGCGCGCATCAAATTATTTCATTTGTGTGCAACGCAAGACAGTGCAAATCACTTGTGCGCAACGTTGCAGATCTTTCCTTAAAACTTGCACTCAACTCACAACAGTGCACATTACTTGCGCGCAACGTTGCAAATATTTCCTTAAAACTTGCGCGCAACTCACAGCAGTGCGTATTACTTGAGCGCAACGTTGCAAATATTTCCTTAAAACTTGCGCGCAACTCACAACAGTGCGTATTACTTGAGCGCAACGTTGCAGATCTTTCCTTAAAACTAACGCTCAACTCACAACAGTGCACATTACTTGTGCACAACGCTGCAGATCTTTTTTAAAAACTTTGCGCAAATATTATTCTAAACTCACTATCATCAAGACACTACGCGCCATAAACATATTGCGCACTCGTTCACTTACTTTTCACTAATAATTTAAAGACCAGTCTCTGCAAACATTTGCTTACATGAGTCAGATTCATATATCTTTCACCATTCGAAATATATATGATAGCTCGATTCGTTATATGTGTATTTACAGTGCCGTTAGGCAATTCAATGATAGTTTTCATATCTTTTGAAACTTTAAACTTCATAAAAATATTAGTGCGAGCATGATGCAAGATTAGACAATTCGATTCCAAGTATAGAAAATAGAAAATTAATTTCATATTTCAGCTATTTCGAAGAAATTTTAGAAATTTTAGCATTTTGTTCATTTAAGCAAATCATTATTTTTACATAAATTTGGAATCAAACGGTAGTCCAACCTTACCCTCCCCTCCCTCATAAGCTCTTAGTCGTATTAAAAACGAGGCCAAATCCTAGATTTACTCTCCGAACCTACCTCAAAATAACGGTTTCCCTGATAGAAATTAACGACTCTTAAATACAAAATTAACATAAATAAACCGCTTATAATCCGTAATATGGCTTACATAAACAAACCATATGGACTATCAAACATAAAGTTCCTTCTCATTGGTCGATAGCACATGACGGGCACCGGTTTCCTGCCTTTAGGAACGCTCATAAGCAATAGACATTTCTTCCGTAATGCAGTTGACCACAGTTGATCTGCTCTGATGATAAGAGGTTTTCAAGTCTACAGCGTACAGAAAAAGTTCAAAATAATACTGCCAGAAAGGAGCAAAATAATGTTTTTAAATATCACGCTTATACAAGGATATAACACCATCGAAACAAAGTTGTATGAAGCATCAGTTCGTTAAAAGAAGCGTAGAAGCCAGCTGTGGTATGCTCCTGAAAAGGTGTTTAATGTCTTTAGCGACTGTTGAGCATAATATTGGACTCAAAAATTGGCTTTGCCTAAGAAGTAGAATTTAATCGGAGCAGTCTTGTTTGGAACATGTAGAAAAGATCTTTTTCTCAAACCACAGTTCCATTTGAATTTCCTTCGGAACTGTTTTGTAGAGCAAGGCGAACCACAAGTCGCGACCACTTGCCAAGTCCCAAGATGCGGTCCAAAGATGTGCAGACACGCAGCAAACTACTTAGCATCTAAAGTGGTTGTCATATTACGTCAGCTCAGCATACGCGTTGAAATAAATACCATTTGGTGTAGAAGAAAAAAACAAATCCGAGAAAACCTTCACTGCTTTGTACTTGACATCCTAGTGTTAGAACTTGATGACCTCGTTGACATGCTTTGACTTATTCTTGGATTAGTAGTGGAATCCCGCGGGATCATAGGCGGGACCACCGTGGACATTTCCCGCACTTTTTTCCTTTCAGCAAGTAATTTTGATTTTCGTTTTCTCCTAAGTTTTTTYTGCTGTTTACGCCATTTCAGGTATTTTCTCCACTCTCGCCAACTCTTCACTGTAATACAGATCGTTTGACTTTGATTACTAAAACCTTGTTCTATTTGTCCATTCCTCTTATTCTTTCTGGTTTTTCTCCCTTTGTATAACCATTGGAATCTCAAAGGTCTTTCTATAAACTGCACGGCTTTCATTCCACTCCTTGTCTTGTTGCACGCTCGTTGGCGTCCTCGGCGATTGAAAGCAATGTAGAGATTATTCTTGTTGACGGAAGTAAATTCTGTGAACGCATTTTCAGCAAAATGTTCTCGGAAAATGCAGTTGTCCTTTCGTCTGCCCTTCACCTAAATTGCGAAAAATATATTAGCATTATTACTCAGATTAGTGTTCATTAAAATGACGGCTTTTTTGCAGATTGTATAAACCTGTTTCAAAAAAATGTTGTTGATCGGAGATCTGAAATTGGCGATCTGAGTCTAAACGAAATTTTTGAGCTTTTAAGTTTTCTAGGGCTAAAATAAAAAAATACATATCTAACTCAATGTTCAACGTTTTATGAAATAGGTRTATACAATTACATCTTTTCTTTATTCACGTATACTGAGAATAAGTTCACTTTAGAAATGGATGTCATTTTTATTCCCAGGTTACAGGTTATCTTAAAATCTGAAGAATGTCACATTTTGGATCTAATTCAAGACTACAGATGAGTACTAGCTTGAATACGGCCAAAGAGGACACAAATGGTGAGTTAATTAACAGAATGATAGCACTTTTATTAGAATTTTTTAATGTGCTGTCAATATTCCTATTTATATATTCTACAAACATTAAGACCTTGCCCAGCAAACCCTCACTCTGGTGATCATCTGAGTGTAATTACYCAAAGTTTGAAAAGTATTATCTTTTAGATTTGTGAGTATAAGCTTTAGGAGTAGAAAACATTATGCGAATGAGGAAGGGCGTTTTGAAAGAATAGTCGAACCTCCCGATCGATATCGTCGGTATTAACTACTGCTTCGAAAGAATGTCGTAATAACGGTTGAAGTCGCCTTTAGCCATACTCAAGTATGTTAACTCCTGAGGTAAAGGCCATTTCTGGCTAGAACCATTTAATTTTTCTTATGTTGTCGTTTCTTACTCATTCCTTACCAAAATTGGCATGGCTGCATAACTTCATGAGCTTAAGATTCTAGGATTAAAATTTTTCAGATAAGGTGGTCACGTGACCTTGATCCTCACTTCTATGCACCCAAAAAATTAAATTAAGATGGGGTGATGGTTATCATCTGTACATAAAATGTTATGACATATTTTCACTTCTCCCCATAGGATGTATATGAATCTGCCCTAAAACCTGAACTACCATTGCTCGTGTTAGGGCAGTTTCATATACCTCTTAATAGAAAGAATGAAAATATACCATCAAGTATTCTTTACTTTCACATCCCCATAATGCCTTGCGTCTTTGGGGGGTAACCAATCAAAAAACTGTCCCAAATTGATAAGGTTTCTTAATTGAATTTATACTATACCTGCTTTTATCTGTACAATACTGATTATCAGTTTATTCCAAGTTATTTTTGCGTGTACAGATCATGAAGAGTTTTGGTCTTACAGAAAATGTATTGACTTACGAAAAAATGTTTGAAATTTACCTTAAACGCCTCCAAGTTTCTATCTTTTTCTGTTTTTTATTTCTTCTATTTATTTTTGGGTACCAAAAAAGGTATTGTCAACATTGTCTGATCAGCCTTCATCAAAATAAGTGGGTTTTTACCCTCTGGTTACCCCCCAAAGACGCAAAGTATTATGGGGATGTGAAAGTAGAGAATGTGGCTGTACTCAAGTTTAAATCTTACTAAACATCATAACATTTATAGGCTCATAATATAAATACAATCACGAAGATAAATATAAAAATGTACTAAACAAAGGCCTGCGGTGTTTATGTTCCAGTAGGATTAGTGTGTGTACATCAACCCAGAAAAGTATACCTATAACCTGTGATCTTTATCGATATGAAACAAGCCCGTCCATACAAAGAAAATCCTGTCCGGAACTCCATACACGTGGTCTATAGATAAAACGCGYGATAATGTACTAACTACTTCCGATAATCCTATTATATTTAGGATAAACGTCCTCCGATGCGTGACCTTGATTCTCGCTTTATCAGAAAAAGGCGCGCTTCATATCACTTATATTGTTGAGATATTTTTAACTCAATTGTGAGTTTGTTTATTTGGTTGAAAGTAATGCATAAACGTTTTGAAGGCTGCTTTGTTTAGTGCAATAACCTTTTTGTTATTTATTATTATTATTGATTATTATTACTATCATCATTATCATCATTATTTTTATTATTATTATTTAAGCGTTTTGTTATCGTTTTAATTAAATGACTTTGATTTAGTTACAGCATGGCGATCGCATGATATATATATGTTATGTCCTGATTCCTACGATCATCGTGAATTTTCTTCTTAACTTCCTAGTTGCGTCCTTATGGTTATGAAACTTTCATTTAAACAGGGTTGCCCATTTAGTTAAAAGCTGGTATCCAGAGGGGCCCCTTAGGTGTGTAGTTTTCAGTCACACTTCATATAATAGGACCGACTATATCCCATCAGGGTTTGCTCTTATTCAGGTTGAAATCAGTGCCCGACTATTTTCTCGTTACAACCAGTGATTTAATTTTCCATGAGTATTTGGTAGGAAATCTATTATCTATTATCCATTATGTGAAAGAATAGTGTTTAGCTTCTCAATACGCCGTCTTCGTTTAGTATAACAGAAACTAGCATCCTAGCGAAACCTTGTGGATCAATCAATGACTCTAAATTTCGAAAGAATAAGCAGACAGTGCGGTGAGCTAGGTAACATCTCTATCAGATTGTTTTCTAACATTACCAAGGGTTAGGGACATCGTGTATGGTACATTGTGTTATCWATAAGAGTGAATCTATTTGGTAACCATCTCTCTATAATATACACCAAGTACCATTCTACTAAACCCCTTCAATTAAGTTTATAGCCTTTGAGATATGTTTTATTAGGAAAATAATTGTCATTCAAAATAGAAACAAAAAAGTAAGCGGAGATCTAATATTAATTGTTCTGATTCCCAATCTTCCACGCGACCGCCTTTTAAATGAATTTCTATTAAGCTTGATTCCTTGTCAAAAGAACTGTCACAAATGCAAATATGTGGTCAGTGAGAAAACCAATTTGACCTAAATAACGTAAGCTATGAGCGGCAAAGGAAAAAATACTACAAGTGGTTGCTAAGCAACRAGTTGGAACTCGGCAGTCGATTTGAGTTCAAAGGCTTTGTTTGTAGTGGCCCCGGATATCAAACTGTTTAGCGCGGAAAGCCACGATATAGAGCGCATTATGAGTTGTTATTTTCCTACATTTTTCTGTACTTTGTTTATTGCAAGTCAGGCGGTTATAAAGCGTGGGAGTTAATCAAAACAGCCTCACCCACTCATACTAGACTAAGTGTGTGTTTTGTAAGCAGAAACAGAAATTCAATAAATGCCGAGGCTTAAGAAGAACAGAACAGCTCGCCGAACGTACCCGCTGCCTCAGAGAAGTGATAGTTATCCATGACGGCTATTTGTCTAGGGGATTAGAGAAAAGCAAACACAGAAGACCAGTCAGAACAACTAGAAGATTAAAAACGCGTGTGTCTTTGATAACAAATCGTTAATCGAGTTTGCAAATTTATTAGGACATAAAAATTAAACGCTTGAAGAGACTTAGTGACCGGTAAACACCAACAGAGGCATTATCCTTAAAACCTTGTAATGTTCATTCTAAGCTTGACGCGCAATGTTTAGAGGGGTATTACGCGCAGTCTTTTGAGATGCGGTTGCGGTGCACTTGACGCACTGTTTAAGCGCGCATCTATACAATGAATCGTGTTATTTCCATCTTTCCATGAACAGTTTTTCTCAAGATAGCAACACTTAAATTGATCTTTACGGTAGAGATATTCCTATCTCTTAAGAAGATTTAAATTTTTATTTTGGGGATAGAGTTTTGGAGTAGATGGCTAATCAGCTACCAAAATTTTATAGAAAACGATGTTCGCATTCGAAATTTGATTCAGATTGAGCTCCTTATTCGCTTATTTTTGCTCTTGAAGTGAAAGCTTTTACATAGTTATTTCAATTTTGCAAGATGTTAAGCCGCTAAGTCGAACCTAGATGTCACTCTTCTGAACAACCCAATTTAGCAGTTCAATTCTGGTAGCAAACGTTGAGTGTCGGTCTTAAGGATATCTTACGGTTCTGATATGGTTTTACTAAAATATCTTTAATTAACAAGCGCTCTATTTCTCATACTCCTTAGTCGAGATAAAGCTTTGGTTGTTCAAGATTAGAGTAGATTTTCAAGTCACTCTGAACACACCGCACTTTTCTGAATATCCTATTTTTAGCCGCATTTCTCGCAATCGTGAAAAATTAGTTATAAAATTTAGTAGTACTCAAATAATTCTTCTGCCATTCCAGTATGGACAGATATATTGCTAAGGCTTAAAGTATCATGAGCTATTTTCACAGAATTTCCCTGGCTTTTTCCATTTTTAAAGAAAGCAAACTATACAAAGTATCACAAGAATTTCCAAAACTGTCATGAAAGAACGTGGAGGAATGCAACGCGGTCCCTTCTGACGTACAAAATATTACAAGAATCATAGATACACTGTTTCATTGTCTCAAATACTATAATACATTATTCTAATATAGTAAATAAATACGTTAGAAAACGTCCCCTTCAAGAAGCAGAAACCCCAAGAGGACACGAACGGACATTGCTAAGTATGATCCAACACAATGCAATACCTGTGTTGAGTCTCTTTAGCCCTATATTTTAGATCTAATCAATCCTCTTTATCAACAACAGTAGTTGATAGCTCACCGACTTCCTCTTGTTTTGCCGAATTGTATCTTTCCTTATCCCGCGAGAAATTATTTACTCATTTGTCATAATAAACATTGAAGATCTTATCTTTTTATCATTAGTGGTCTTCAGAACGTTCTAAGACGAACTTTTTCATTCGTTCACCATCTGTTCACACACGCACACAACCATGGTTGACTAGCTGACCGCTGTATAAACTTTGTTCGCAATTGATTTTTTGACCAATTGTTTTGGCACGTTTAGAAAGATGACGGAAAAGGCTTGCTTTTCCCGRCCGTTCACGCCTAGCTCGTTCCTTAACTCTAAACTCCTACGCCTTTCGTAGGACTTTTTGTAGGGTTGTTTGTGTTTTTCCCCCGTCATTTTAAGAAACATTCTAACGTATTGTGAATAAACTAAAGTAATCTATGGTGCAAATATCATGAAAATATGATGCACACAAAAAGCAATCTTTATTTTGATTCTTGCGTTGCCTGAACTAAACTAGTCCGGCAAACTGAAATCAGCGAGTGAAAATAGACATTTGGACACCATTTTGGACACCATGGCATAAAAACCATCTTGCTGATGAAGGCTTCACTTCCAGTATTTTATAGCCTTTAAGTCAGAGACAACTTTTATTTATTTTATTTCAGTATGCCTGGCTGCTCATACAGCATTTTTGAAAATGTATTTGTTCTAAAAAGAACTAATGGAAAATGATAAGAGTATGAAACTACGGCTTTGAGCGACAAAATGTCCTTTTTTGCACGTTACTGCTCATAAAACGAAGATTTGATTCTACTGTTGAAGTGTTCTGGCCTACATATTCCAGGCTTTGTTATAGCCAAACAAAGACCTAAACTCTTTGAGAACACAACGAAATCGTGTCGTGCACAACATACATGCACGTCTTCAACTCTAAACCCTATAGTGTGAGGCTTGAGACAAAAGGACTGACTTGCATAGGTCCAAAGAACTGTCTTTAATTTTTGTTCAACAGTCATACTCAATTCTAGGGTCATTTTGAGTGTGGCCCATAAAAATATATGCTACTCTTAAAATATTTCAAGCAACGTCCTTTTATTACATTCTTGAGAATATGCGTGTTTTGGGTGGACCCAGTTTGTCATTGTGTGGCTTGTAGCGCGGGAGATCTATTCCGGATCATTTAAGCACGTAATMTTTACTCTAAAAGCTGAAGACCTCCTAGATAGAAAGTGCCTTAGAAACACGAAAAGGGATACTTATTTTTATTTCATTCATTTTACTTCACGCACAATAGTTTATAGCATTCGTTTAGATCGAACTCTAAAAATGCTTCTAATTTTTAATTCTTATTCTTTGACAAACTGACTTATAAAAATACTCAAATTCTAAGCTCTGTTTCATTCATTATACATCAATTCTAACATTTAAAGAAAAGAATGTTTAAGGATTACAAATATATGATGCCAAACAACGGACCTTTTTTCTCAGGCCTTTATGAACGCCAAACCTTTGAAGTTCTTTTCTACTATGAATTTGTGTACTATAGTATACGAATTTTCCAAATTAATCTGTAGATGGTGCAGTGGAAATATTTTAAACTGTATCCCTCTTTGGATTCATTCTCGAGTTTTCCTCTCGGAAAGGTTTTCAAGAGCCTCGGCTTAAGATTAGACGGAAATAAGAACAAATGCTTTAGCCCAACTTACCCTTGCTCGAATTTGTCCTCTCTTGTCTATGCACAAATAGTAATTCGTAGCAGCACCTCGTATTCTAACTCGTCCAAAATTGTCCGACTCGATAATTATTTTTGCTGTTGAGAAAACAAGTGAAAGGACAGTAAGTCTTACTGAATTTGTTCAATGAAAATATAGTGAATAATCAATAAGTAGCTATTTAACATACTAACTAGTGTGATGTATATTCTTGGTGTGGATGTATATACGAATTATTTTTAGAGTTAGAGTTTTAGATTTACGTTCACGGCAAACGTCAAACGTCAGTTGACCAGTGAACAAGTATTTTACCTTACTGAAAAGGACTTGCAAAAGAATCCAAGTAGTAAAATAACAAAAAAATATTWGWGTGTGGTCACGTTTGCCGTTTGCGGGAAGAAATAAAGTCAATCTAAAACTCTCTATTTTTAATCTTGTACAGAAGGTTTGGGAAGGTTGTCCTCGTGTGAACGGACAAATATCACAGTGTTAATCTTGTCAAATGAATGCTTTCTGTAGTTAGTCAACCAAGGACCGAAGAATTTACGGTCCTAAGGTGTTTCAGAACGTTTTTGCGCTATTGTTTAGACATACTCTGACATACAGGGCAAGTAATAGAATAGTTTCGAAAGGTAACTTTGAATAAGAAAAATGCACCACAACTGACAAACATATGATAAGTTCGTGAGACAACAGAGCAAAACATTTGATTGGAGCCAAGTAGCTAAGAGACTTTGAATAGAGTTTAAAAAATAAAGAAAGTTAAAACCATTTATGGAAAATTCTTTCAATTCAAGTTTATACGTAGGTTCTCTTTCACGCGTCTTGGATGCGGATGCCGCGAAGTAAGGAATAGAATCGGTAAAGGTTTAAGATGATCTTCTTAAAGCATTTTAGCTTTCACATTATGTGTTCTCTTATATATTCATCTTTTTGCACTAGTATATATACGCCATTGAAATCGATGGATTTTCCTGCTGTGATCATTATTATATTGGATCAAAATATTTTCACGCTATGATATAAACGTGTCGACGTTGAGCTATTGTACTTGTAGTGACGCATGCTTTTTTATTCCCTCACTTCGAAATTAAAGAAGCATCCCGTAGATACAAGAAAAATATCAGTGCTTTGGTTGAAACGATTTAGGAAGTGTCAGCAATTTTGAATTCAACAGAGGCAACCTTCTTCAAACATAGCTTAATAAGAAAACGTTCAACTTAGATAAGATCTAAGATAATTGATTCGATTTAACGTGATTGTTTTAGTCAAAGTCCCAGTGAAGGTTTCAATAGTTAGGGTATGATTAATATAATTAACCGATTGTTTTATCGGATGTTCCATAGTATAGCCTGTTCCAATATCAGTTAGGGTATTTTGACCGCCATCTTCAGACAATATCTTCATTTGTTATAGGTAACGGCTATGATCACAGTAAAGAACCGTTCGCCAGTGTTATTTGTTTGGCCGTGATAGTTGATTCGATATACATAGTTATCCTTTTAGTATGACTTGGCTGTTTTCCCGCCTAAAAGAGATAGTCATGACCTGGATTGACTTCATTCAGCAAGTCAAGGCTTTCAGAGCCGGCTGCATGGAGGATTATCTCATTATACATATAAGACCAAACTGTTAGCTTTGTGATGGTTGATTAACCGTGATTCAAAACACCAAACAGGCATGTTCTTTAGTAGCGGCAATGATTTACTCACTAGTAAGCTAATAATCTTAGGACCTCAAATCAAATTTGCTTAATTCTCTATTGATGGTTTTGGTCCAACTATTGACAGCGAAAGCCTAGTCTGTTTGGATATAAGATGTGATGGGAAGCAATCGATTCGGTTGTCAAATGAACTGGGCTTATATTATGGCACCTTTTGGGAAGTTAATCTAGTGCGTGAGATTAAGAAAGCGTTGAACAAGTGCTAGCTGTAAAACGTCTTCAGAAAGTACTAGAAAGATTATTCTATACTTTTGACCTATTCAACAATATCATTATAACTGCATGTGGAATTCATGGCTTCTGAATTTGTTAACATCTTACATAATTTTTTCCCTACTAATTCTTTCTTTTGTCAACGTATAATTTTGTTGCTGCAGTCATTAAYCTATAAGTTGTTGACATTTTTCCTGCTTCGTTTCTTTTTTGCTATGCAATGGAGCTTGTTAAAGCTAAAAATAACCTTGTTCTGCGGTAACCATACGAGTGAGTGGCATCGCCGGCAACAGCCTTAGGTCTTAACGTCAAAATCATTATTATCCATTTGTCAATTTTCTCATATTATCATTTAGGTCGTTTGCACTAGCGTTGAGTAACTTGCGGAAGTCGGGCCAAACGACTTCGTTGGAGGCCGGTGTTGCTAACAAACTTAAAATGATGAAAATTCTAACTCCTTAGTGCCACTTCGCTCGCACGATTAGTTTCAAGATTCGTGTCGGTCAGCCACAGATTCTTTGCATCTCATTTCTTTTACAAAAAGTAAACAGAAGACAGATCACTTTGTTGAATGACAGATAAATACTTCGGCCTTCAAACAGATTTAGGACCTAATTTTACTCTCAACGTTTGGGTTTCATTTGGCTACAGGTAACAAAATGATCGCCCAAACAATCATAAGACTACGGTCCTCTTAATTCCTCAATCATGAACAAAACAGAGGATATCTATTCTAAAGAGTTCTTATAGAAAAGTAATGTAACCTGGAATGCGCCTGACAAAAGCAGCTGTCATATCCGCTTCTTTTTTGACATTACTAAACTTTTTTCGCTCGAATCTCATTCCGTTTAACACAACTTTACTTAGCAGGCGATTTCCCGAATAACCGGTGATGATATTGGCCTAAGTTCCCGATTACAAAGCCATACATAATATCCTTTTTACGCCAGCAAAAGAGTTTGATTTATCATCTGTAAACACAAGTACGAAGCAAACAGACAAAGGATTACCATAGTATAAGTTCATTGGTTTTTGTTTTCATTCGAAAACCGCGGTTAAGACCTTTGCTTCTGGTTGTGTTTACGACACTTTGGCATTTCAGTGTGAGTCCTGAACCTAGACCTCAACTTACACAGTTAATAGATTCGTTATGGGAGGCTCTCCTTATGCGATTAGTCATGTTAGGGTCAACGAAGGACACCCTGACTACAATGTCATAATATATATCATCGGCTTTAGGAAATTTCAAACACGTTTACCGCAATGAATAGAACTCACAAATGCATACTCAAATCAGAAAACTAATCTAGCGCATACTTTAATTATCATAAAAATATTACTCAAGGTTTAAACGTACCGTATTTATCGCCATCTTTTCCCATGGCATCAATTTTTCGATTTGGAAGAATCCTTATATGCTCTCTGCTATTCCTTGAATAAAGTTGAGTGACYCTTCTGAATGGAAGACTCTTCGGATCGGTCGTTGTCTTTCCTTTTTTATACATTGGCTCGAAAAATCTTTGTTCCAGGAGCTGAAAACAAATACATGAAGATACGCTGAGTTTTAACTTTGAACAGCGATGCAAATTCATTCACGCATCACGCATCACGGACAAGTGAAATTCAACATGGAAAAAAAGATCCGACTTTTTATAAAGATAAGATCTAGAGTTAAGAAGTTTGTTAATTCTCTTACCTCATCGTCGCTTTTCTCGAAAGAATCTTGTACGGAAATGCTGATTGATGAGAAAACAGAGAAAGGTAAACTGTTAGTTCTACGGCGAGATGATGTACTTTCACGAGAGCTAAGTGAGAAAAGCTGTTGGCGGTCCTTAGGAAGGCGAGCGTAATCTCCAATAATGATTATAATACATTAAATCATCTTAGATTAAGCAACTCTTAATTATTWAAAAAAAAGCGTGAAAAGAAAGGTTCCAGCGAGACAAGTTTTCTGTACCTTAGTATCACCAACAGTGGTAGCCAGGCGATGTTCATGTTGCGAGCCATTCAACTCAAATGTCTACTCAACTATTTTCGTGTCCTTTTATCTTGCGTCATTTAAAACTTCACCCACTCTCCCCGTGCCGCGCGCAGCGTGAGACGAGGGGTGACAAATAGACCAACACAATCGACAAGGAAGTGTTAACGGAAATGTACTACATCACCCAATCCGAAGCCGGCTAGAAAGAGTGGAGCCACCAGTTTGGAGCGGCGTGGTTCGAGTTCTGCAGGACGTTGCGTCCACTATATTTGGTGAATCACGGCTGTGTATTAGTTATTCAAGGCTAACCCGATGGGAACCACGAGAGGTGTGTCGAGTAAAACAATTGACTGCAAATGTAATTAAGATGGTTATCAATATCTTTATCACCCGTCGTGGCGGGGTTGACCTCTCGAGGTGTCAATTTGCGCTTTTCACGCCTTAATTAAATTTTAAATGTGAAATCGTTCCTCTTAGCGTAAGGGAAACGCTTGATGGTTGTTTAGGACCCAGGTCTCAGACACTCTGGCTCGTTAGGGCTTAGGTTCTCGGCCAAAAAACACGGATCGGTGTCCCAAAAGGCGACGAGCTGCTCCAACACGAATCTTTGAAGTAAACCACAAGCTAAAATTCCATTGGTCGCGCCCAATGTCCCGTACGAGCAACAGATCGATTAAATCAAGTCGGTAATTGGTCTGGGGAACAATATGTCAATAAAAATGTTCTATAGATAATTAGTTAAGAATCCGGGATGACAATTCCATAAAACTACAGGCTAAACGGATGTTTAGAAAATCTGATAACCTGGAAGATTAGGATGGTTTGAAGAGGTCGTATAGATCACTGATAGCTTATACGTCTTGTCTGCACTTTTCCTGCACGCAAGACTGAGCTGAGAAACACCATTAACACTGAGTGTTGCTTCATATCTTTATTGGACATCTATGGCGTGAAAAAATTCATTTATTTATCTGTGTATATGCGAGCCATTGTTTCTCCATATACGTGTGCAAAAAGGAGGGTGTTAGTTGCTTAGGTCTTCATTGATCGGCTCACTTGAGTGATGGCACGGATCACTCATAAAAACCACCGCCAACCAAACCAACCGAACTGTATGCAACAAACACATTCAAATAGTGATATAATGATTGTCAGTCAATAATGCATAAAACCAGCGATTATTCTGAGTAAACATGTAGCAATTATAAGTCGGGAATCAAAAAATTTTCCCACTGTTCTTTATTTACATAATGAGTTTTCTAGCAATGAATCTGCACCAAAAACACATTCCTGGAGACGAAAATCGTTAAGGAGATAACGCGTATAGAGCAGGTGCAGATATCTCTGCACGACACGCATTATTCATCTGACTTCGCTGGCAGGGCTTATCAGACAAGCACAAACTAGACCCTCAAGAACTCAAGGAATTTTCTATTTTCTGCAAAGTACTGTCATTTTGTTCTATAATAAGAGGCATCACTTACGTTGATAAGCCTTTCAAATTTACTAGACGTTTATGGCGAACGCCTACGCAATACTAGTGTCATTGCCAGTTGACGTTCGGAACAAAGCTTTTAGAACTTTGACTCTCAACTGCCGAAATATTCCAAACTCTCTCGTAATTTCAACAAGGATATCCTTTTGCTTTGTCTRCTCAAATATTGGGTGTTTTTTCCCCAAGTGTACTATAAATTTGATGTAATCGTTTCGATTCTTTGCGCCGCTTTCGGCTCGAGCTGCACCGCCTCATTTCATCGGAAGTGACATTACGTCATATACGTTAGGCCCTTTGACTCACCGATGCGAAATCTTAGCTTTGATTGCAATAAAATTCTTCGAGTTGTTCGGTAACACCATTGGAAAACCRAAGAATGTTTTTGCAACTCACTTATGACGAATTACAATGAATCCTAAGGTGCCGAAAAGAAGGCAAGAGGCAAGTCAGACAGCCGAATGACGGTTGGTAATCTTCTTTACTCTGAGTTGTTTTTRCAATGCTTTGCTTTCGTATTTAAGAGCCGTAAAACAAAGTAAAACCAATAAAGAGAAAAGAAGCGAAATGCGAGAGGTATATAAGCCATTGTGGTTTAGAATAATCCTTTTATTCATCTACTTAGCTCATTATTTACACCCTTTACATATAACCCCTAACCCTAACCATGGCTGGCCTTCTCGCCTGGTTATTTTTTCCTCCTGCAGGATTCGGCATTGTGTTTCTGTAGCCGACTTTCATATTTCGTGTCTTTTGAGACTCCAGCTGAACCTTTAGAAGACAATTACCGAACACTCTAATAGCCATACCTACGTATCTTACACTTCATAAATCCGCTTTTAAATCAATACAACTAATGCGTTTTTAGCTGTAAAACCATTTTAATCATTTTCTCCCGGTTATGATGCAACTTTTTCAGCCAGTTTCAAACGCTTCCTAGTGCTTTTAAACGTTATTTATAATGCTGACCATAATTTTTGGTCAATATCTCGGGACGTAATTTTTGCATGTGACAATCAAAACTCAATGTTGTACAGAATATATTTGTGTAATTCCTAAAAGCATATCAATTGTGTGACATGGATCTTTTGCTATGATAGGAGGACATTTAGCTATTGGTATGTTAAGATTGTGACGGTTATGAAACGCTTTGATTTATGAGACAAAATGTCAAATCCAAATTTTCCCTTTCACGGATGAAAATTAAACGTATACTTATGACTGCGAAAAATCCATTAAATCGGTCGATGTTCCCAAAGTGAGAATAGATTACACCCACTCATTTGTACGTATCGTAAAGGAGCTATCAAAGATAGATTGCTAAGTACTCTGGATCTTTCAGTCGCTCTATCATGATCAGTCATGTATCAATCGCGCAGATGCTAATCGGTACAAATCAAAATGCTTGTCTCCACTCTAAACTCGACCTTATGGCGCTGTCATATCGTAAAGCTGTCGACAAAACTCTTCAGATGAACGCAAATCTAACCCTGCTCAAACCAACACAAACCACGCATTTCAGACCAGACATTTCATCACCGTTCAAAAGACAAATATCCGTGGCTTGATAAGTTTGGATGGCGAATAAATTTCCCGAAAATTACTGGACGTTTTCCGGCTGAAACGCCGATATGAATCTACGTAGCTACCGGTCTTAAGTCATCCTGGGTGTAGTAATATTACAAAGTATACTGAACCGGGTCAGTAGGTAGATTATAAATGATCAGATAATGTTGTTTGTTCTTATTAGTACTTTATTGCCTTTTCCTCGTCTCGTAAGACGATGGCCAAATAGGGAAGTCATGGAGTGAAATAGTCCGTAGCGGGCTGCGCTTTCCTACTGAATGGGTAGCGTTCTTGTGTTAGGAATAGTGAAGTCTTACCATACGGATTGTTAATTTTTCACTATAACATCGTAACCGTATCATTGGCATACTTTGATAGGGTGCTATTTAATAAAGCGCAAAATGTTTATCGTTATTTTGTACTGATTGTATTTCACTAACTGAATATACGTTGATACGAGAGAGGACTTACTAACTAGTGATCACTGATTGTTCGATATCAATAATGAAGACCATTTCATTATTGAACCCTTGGAACTATTAGATAAGATTCAATAAACTCAAAAGGCAGGGTTAAGTTCATTGCTCATTAAACTAAGATTAAGCAAATGAAAACAAGCGAGGCACCATAGGTTAAGACAAGAGGCGACCCAAAGACTAGATCTTTATTGAACTCACTATAGGTGAGTAGACATAGGGACGTAGTAGGGACGGGTACGCCTTTCTCCGCCATAGCCTCTGGCTGCTAATAACAGAAACAAGAAAACATATCCTACGTTTCTCACCAAGCAGTCGGTCTTTCCGGTTCTCACCGAGACTCAAGGCGAGCGTCTAGTCTTCTTTCTTCTTTTAACGTTTAATACTCCAGTCGAAAGTGTTTCTAGACACCGTTCTCTATAGATAYCCATTACATCTTATCGATGGCGTACCCCAGGTTTTTTGGCGCCAGCCTTCACAGTTGGAAAATAGGTCAAGGGTATTCCGTTACAGGTGCATTTTTGTGATTGAAATTCGTGCGAGTGTAAAATGGGGATCTCTTGGTAAATCTTCGACAAGCGCGGGCTTCAAAACTCCACTCTTTTTCAAAAGTAAGGCCTATAAGTTCAGTGCAATGACCTTAGATTGAATGTGGACTTCACAAAGATAGCGAAACATACGGACTGGATTCGTATACGATCAGTGTATTGGAAAGATGGTCCAGCTTAAGAATCAGCCACTTGGAAACCTGATATCCTGTATTTAGCAATCTAAGTAGATCACTAAATGTTCTATCAATCGTTAACATCCAGCATTAATCCTCATGAGAAAAAAATCATCTTAACCTTCTCATGCAAGGGACGAGCGATAAATTTTCCCAACATCTACTTCGACTTAGATCATGAAAACTAGAGTCTTTATACAGTAATGATATGTTATATTTCATTCAACTTTGATGCGCGATTAGGTTAGCATGAGTAGATATTTTTGATGTCGTTTATCTGTGATTGAAGCCAAGTGGCCGGACTGAAGACAGATCATTGTTCATGTCATGGGAGGCGTGAGATTTTAATTGACTTGTCCTCTACCATATGAAAGACATCTAACAGTTATAGTGTTGGAGCACTTTCATTATTGCACCTTTAAGTGTGCTATGATAACAATATAGCACGCTATTGTCGGGTTTATGGCTC